GTGTCTAGTGGGTTCTGGAGAAGCTAAACAAAATCTGCTGCGAGAGAAATCACCAACCTGTGTCAATGGGTATGAAAGCGATATTGTATCTCTTTAATATGTATTTATTATAAGCAGAATGAAATGACAAATAGCAATGAAACAGTTTTAATATATATAAAAATGAAAAAAAAGTAAAACAAAATCTTCAGACTGTTTTATAAATAGAGAAGAAAGAAGATCCGTCCACTTGAGCAAAGAAAAAAGGAATAAAATGTATGTATGAATATATGTACATGCGTTAACTGAAATCAAAATATATGAAATAAGAAAGAGAGAGAAAACATTATATTACATCATACATAACAACTTATGGACTAGCACATGGTCTAACTGCTAGGACATAACAATACAGTTCTGCAAACGAATAAACTGTTCTACTATATCATCGCCATGCTTACAAAAAAAATCATCGTCCTTTGAAGCTATAGATTAACTCTTGGAATAGTTGTGTAATAATGAGGCATAAATAACTTTCAAAATCGCTTTTGGTTTCATCAACAAAAACGGTCCTTTTTCTTGGTTCATAACATGTATAAAATCCGTAGCTAATTCGCCTGACTTCGAAGCGCACTGGAAGAACCAGTAATTATACCATTGTAGAAATTTAATTAATAGTGGAACTTTAGGTGATGGATGAACTTTTTCACCACCTCTTTGATACGTTCTTATTACACCACTGGAATCGGTTTTCACAACTTTTAAATTTGGAGTTGCCCAATCGTTTGTTGTTGAAATCATCCAACATTCTTCGCTAATGGCTGAGGCACGACGATTATAAACATGCGAAATATCCGATAGTCTACAACGATTTTGTTCAAATATTTGGCCTAAGAGGCGGGCTTGACGACATGTGTGTGCTATACCTTGACCGTATTGAGGATTAAATGCGCACATTGCATCTCCCAATAGAATATAGTTTCTAGGCCACTTCTTACCTAATTTTTCAACATATTTTCGATCATTAATTGCTCGTCGATAAGGAACGAGGGGCCCTGCAGGTTTCGTTGATTTCAGTATTAAATAATAATCAGGATGAAGATATTCTTTAGCCCATTCTAGCACACTGTCATACGAATCATTCGGAGGATATTCAGAGTTAATACAATAAATCAGAACGTTTGATAATGTACCTAATGAATTTTCATCCATAGTCTTTATTTGACGTACGGCGGATGTACCAAACGCTTTATTATGATGTGGAGTATAGGTTGCATCACCAATCAAATGAGCTGAATCCAGTTCTGGTCTGCCGGTTTTAAAACGTTCACCTATAAACGTAACATAACCGAGACCGAAATGTATTTGTTCAGTAGGTACAATTAAATTCAGTGATTCTTTTAACCATTTAGTAGAAGACGAAAGCCGTCCAGTACAATCAACAATAAAATCTCCATACAATTCGAACTGGGACTCATCAACGTTTTTCGATCGGTATTTCACGCCCAAGACTGTATTTGATTCAGCATCTACTAACAACTGTGATACGCGGCTATTACATTTCCATTCAATTTGATTAGTATCATTAAATTGCAAGCCTAATTCTCTTCTCAATACAGTTTCCAGTGTAAATCGATCAATACCAATCCAATCGAAGTCCTCGGTTAAATCTTGGCTAAGTAATGCCTCATTAACAACAAATTTCATCTCATGTTTTAATGAACAAATACGTGCACCATAAACGTTAATTAGTTTATCTTTTAATTCCGGATAACAGTTAAATAATATGTTATATGCTTCAGTTTCAATTACATGAAATTGTAATATTTGTCCAACGCCTGTGCGACCCAGAGAACTGGCATTTTCTAGTAGACAACGATAGTCTAACAGTTGTTCTGGTGTTGACTGCATCAATTTATCGTTCAATACATCATCTGATTCAATGATAGTTATTCGTTTGAAATATTTTGACAAATATGCAGCTGTAACCATACCACCGATAGAACCGCCAATGATGATGGCATGGTTACGTTGCTTTCTTTCATTCATTAAATTCTCAACAGTAATATTTTTCTTTGAAATTAAATAAAAACATATTGTGAAAGTCAACACAAACAGAGATACTATTACAAGCAGGAGAAATATCATGTTTGTTCTTTATTTTACTGATCAGAACAAATTGTATTACTGCACACCTTTGAGATACGACACGCTCTATATAAGTTATATATATATGTACAATGATAAATAAAAATAACGAAGTTTGTCTTTACCTTGATTTCTTTACTATTCTAATAGCGCTGAGTATGCAAAACTCAAAACATTGTACATACAATCAGACAATAGATGCACAAGAGAAAGAGATGGTTTATCCACTCATGTTTTTCTGCATGGATCGTCTTATACAACCGTAACGGTATTACATGGCGAAATATCATGGAATTTTGGTTTTTCGCTTTATTCAAACTTTATCTCCCTAATGACAACGTATAACGTTGGGAGTTTTTACCACTGATAAAGAGTCTCGAGCTCCATTACCAGAAAAAGTTCCATTTAATTTGATTAAGTAGAACTAGAGTTATTGACGAAATACGTTAGTGAATATCGTCATTGAATTTCAAAAAATGCGAATTATTTTATGTGTGTTAGGGAGCTGGTACGATACGAACCAAAAGCAAGTTATTAACCGTCGATAATCATTTCTCAAACGGATAAAAGTCTCGCATAATGAAATACATGCGGTATATCTGATCGGTCACGAATATCGGACGTTCTTTTACTACTTATTCCTTTTTAATTTTCGGTATATTCCGGTGTTCTAGCTGACATTTATTCCGAATATAGTGATTATTCGAATGCATAATAAATGCATCAAATCATTCAATCATTATTAAGTGGTACAAAAGGAAAAATAATATTATCATACAATACCACCTTCGATCACTGATAGCTATGTATTTTCGTTAATATGTGGGCACGATGCCTTTGTTGATTAAGGATTAAATGCGCACATTGCATCTTCCAATAGAATATAGTTTCTAGGCCACTTCTTACCTAATTTTTCAACATATTTTCGATCATTAATTGCTCGTCGATAAGGAACGAGGGGCCCTACAGGTTTCGTTGATTTCAGTATTAAATAATAATCAGGATGAAGATATTCTTTAGCCCATTCTATGCTGGGCTTCAAATTCATCCCATGTATGTATACTATATGATTGATAAAATAATTTTGGTGCCTGTACGAAATGCTATGTGTCTCATTGGCTTTATGATTCATGAACCGGAACCGAAGGAGACACGTGATTTCTTTGTTAACATTCTGAGGAATCGATGTCCACTAATCAAAAATTAAACACGTGTATCTCAAAACGGAAAATAAAGCGCACGATCTGAGGAGCCCCTGTTTGATAAGAAAAGTCAGATAAGTTTTTTTACAAAAAACTTGTTCACACTAACCGCGAGAATAATGGTCTGCTTTGATTTGAAATAATCGAGAAATTTTCAACATTTAATTTGAAAAAAATTTTGAAATAATGAAACAGTCTAGTTTGGTCAGTGTTTTATCCATAACTCCAGAAGGCTAAATAGTAAGAGCTGAGAGTTTTTTCAGAGATGAACGCTTGTGATACATATTTCCTGCACATTTCATCTAAATCAGTTGTGAAATAAAAGGATTTTTTCTCTGGTGTGGAGCTCTTAAGTCATTATTATTTCAACGGATACATTCAATTTTCATTCCAGGAAAACCGTATTCGCCGTATTATCTTTTCGTCGTCATATTCTTCTAACACTCAATATATTCGTCTTGCACAGGCAGCCACTAGTATTCCTTTCACATCGCCGGTCACGTGCTTATTACAATCACAACTCCTTTTCACCCTGTGCAAACGACAATATTGCAACTGTTGCAAAAAAATTAATTTTTCCTCATAATTTACTTTCTGCTAATTTTTGTCTAATATATTACTATACTTTTTTCAAACTCCCTTTTCATTCTCTTTAAAAGAGTGATTAATTTCTTTTGCATGATTCCTAGCATCGTTTACACTAAAATTCTGCTTACAATAGATAATTATATTCAGTCGAATAAAGATGAATTTTTTCTTTTAGGAACTCGTTGAAAGGTTCTTTGGGAACTGGCGAATGAGGTTTTTTTCGGGTTGCGTCTTGTTAGTATTCACAGATACGACGTGAAAATGGATTCATTTAAACTGAGAAGCTAAGCTATGATGAGAATAGTGACATAGTTTTCAGCCGAGTTGTATTTATCGCTATAGCTTGAAACTGTTTTGTTGATCAGTTGGAACTATTTGCTAAAGCGTCGAACAGCGTCGTTGACATGAACTTTTGTATTGTCTGCTTTATTTTTCTCATAAATATGGATACTTTTCTTGAATCTTCGAACCGCTGCAAGAGTTAATGCATGTGTGAACCCGTTCCACCATAATACAAATATCTTCAACCCTTCTTTAGTTTTCGTTGTTAGCCTTTAGATTATTTCTATTTCTTTAACATTCATTTATAAATCACAATGGTGATATTCTATAAAATGCGACCGACGATCACGTCAAAAATTTCGATACGCTATTATTTATCCGAATCTCTGATGGAATTATTGACTGTATCTACTGTTTCTAGATGCTTTACCGTCAATGTATTTCCGATCGTAGATGCCGGTGATACTAGACAGAGCTGATTTTGATTGCACAAAACGAATCGTTGATTTTCAAGTCAAAGTTTGAACTTAGAGTTTGAAACCTTGTCACTTAATAGCCGATAGAGTGTATATGATGACTCATCGGTTCAGTTAGCGTTGATTGCAACGATCACTACAATTTAAAGAAAACTCCTTCGAGGTTTCGTGATTGAGACTTCTTTTTTATGATTATTAATTAGATTTAAAAAGTGGTCTCAATTTGGAATGCATATATTCTCTCGTTTCTTATATAAATAAAATGTGGTCTCAATTTGGAATAGAGACTTTGTTTTTTTCACATACTTTGTACACTGTTTATACCTTCGAATCACTTTTTAATTAGGAATGATTAGCTACTATACAGACAAAAAAAGTAGGACAGTTATATTTTAGGTTCATACTTATCATCATCTTTAGAATTAGAATCATTATCTAACACAACTATATAACGGTAGCTTAATGATCGTAATATTGCTTGATAATCTTCTAAATCCAAGCGTCCATTAAAATAATTCTTCTTTGCTTCGGTTAATCGGAGGTCATTATTCACCGTTTTTCTCTTTCTTGGACGTGTGATACGTTGTTGTGCTCGTTCTTGTTCGTATCGTGACATTGTCGACTCTTCACTTTCCTGTATGTAATGGATCCACGCCCAAAGATGTGGATGTATTTCACAATGCCTAGATAACAAAAAATCTTTTTGTCTCAAAGATCTTTCTTGCGAGCACAGATAAGATACTTACGAATTCAATTGCCTATGATAACCTCCGACATGATTATTGGTACGTGGTCTTATCCAATCAGAACAAAATGACTCCAGAAATCTATCGGACATCTTGGTTCTTCAACATACGTTTTCAACACATAATCAGTCAATTTGATGCATTTATCACCAAGTTCGGAGAATGATTCTATTAAACTTGAAAATGCTTCATTTACCTCAGTTGGAGCCATCAGCTTAGCCAGCTGCCGACGTGAGTTGTCAGTATTTAGGATTAATTTTGCTAAGCTGTACTTCCTGATCTTTTTCCATTTGTTTTGGGCAAAATGGAAATGACAACCTTTCACCATAGCTGTTGGAAACTTATGCGAGAAAGCATTCCATGAAGCAACTTGAAAATCAATTAAAATTGACTGCGGATTTAATGCCACATTTTGTTGTGTTGCGTATGATAATAAGCGATCAAGTAAAATTTCATATGATGCTTCATTTTTATTTGGTAAAGCTGCATGAACAATCGGCTTCATACTTAATTTATCCCATGTATGTATACTATATGATTGATAAAATATTTTTGGTGCCGTACGAAAGGTCCCATCAGCATTCCAGTGTTGACTTTTACCTAGAATTTCTAACGATGCCATTGAATAAAAACCTAATGCTGCATCTGGATATGGATTATTACAAATAAGAATTGATTATCTAATGAAGTACAAGCCATTTGTTGAGGTATAACGAGTGATTGTAATGTTTTTGGTAATAATGGGAATACGGATAAACGAGTGGAATATAATGATTGTCTAATAGAATCAAATACTGGAACCGTGGCAGCACTTCCATTCTCCCTTCTCTAAAATAAAATATAACAACTCTTTAATTAATAAAAACTCACAAAGTACTTACAAATTTTTTCACTTGTTGATCATAGATTTGAGGTATTGGAGTTGTTGGTTCTTCTAAAACACGTTTTTTGATTGAATTGACACAATTTAAAACATTCACCAGTAATTTTGGATCATGCATTGGATAATGAGTGTCATTATCATCAATACCACTACTACCAATTATGACATCATCTTTTATTATTACTGAACACGAACAACAATTACGAGTACTGACCCATTTTTCAGTTCCGTTTTTATTTGAACGTTTTAACCGATATAAGTAACTTTTATATAATATACCATCCTGGTTTTTTCCAGTTTTGATACGAGAAAAATGTAGAGTTCCAGACATGATAGAATTTGTAGCAACATTCGATTTGAAATATTGTGTTTCAAGGTAATGCTACTCTTCATTTTTATAGTTTTACCCGATCCAGTAATGTCGCTCTCACTTCAATTTAGTTTTAAGCATCAGTTTTGAAAAGTATTTCAATCAGTTTCTGTCTGTACAGTAGCCAATCGTTCATTTAAAAAGTGATTCGAAATTATAAACAGCGTACAAAGTATGTGAAAAGAACAAACTCCAAATTCCAAATTCCAAATTGAGACCACATTTTATTTGTATAAGAAACGAGAGAATATATACATTCCAAATTGAGACCGCTTTTTCTACTATAAAATTTTCATTTCCAAATTGAGACCACTTTTTAAATCTAATTAAAAATCATCAAAAAAAAGTGGTCTCAATCATAAAGTAGCCAACTCCTTATACCTAAAATTCAGTGACTTAAATTATTTTTCTTTTATTTTGACCTTCATTTCTTTAACAAAACCGTATTCAATTACAAGTCAGTGAATATATAGGAATACCATAATGACTGGAGTCAAATACACAGATAAAATCAGCCATTGCGAGTGTTCGTTTTTAAAAAAGCTACAGATGAATTTTTTCTATATGTATAGTGGAAATAGCATCATTCAAAACTCTCAAGTTCTGAGTACCACTTAGTACAATTTAGCTTATATGGAGAAAGCTTAGACCAACTTTGTCATGCCACATGCTTCTTAGTATGAGATAATTAGAAATTAAAGAATGTTACAAGTGTCATATTTTTGGAATACTTTTAAATAATAATCTAGGAATGGCTATTTAATTATCAGATGACACCTGTTCGAAGTTGTGTGTGCCAGTCGCAATCAAAACTCGTTGATCACCGAAGACAGCTAACCTATTCGAATTGCTGTCAAGTTTAACGTACCATTTTTTTCCAGTTTCTTTAACAATCCATAACATATTCAAACCACTTGAGATAAACAAATTTCCATTAGTATCACTACGTATTTCAACCTCTTCATCTTTGTCACAACTGCCTAACATAATAGTGCGTATTTCTTCCCATGAATTTATATCACAAAATGTGACACGAAATACCGCATAATTACGCTGTTTAGGTGTATTCAATGACGCGAAAATGTTGTCGTCTACACAAAAACTTATACTTCCTTCACCAAACTTTTTCATATGTGCTGCATTAAAATCTATCGTGTACGCGAGCTTGAAATTTGCAGAATATAATTCTAAACCATAGAAATCATTTGAATCCATCCACACCCAAATGTGAATTTGATCACACGAAATACGAACATGATCAAAAATTTACAAAGTTGTTAGTATAGCGGTGGTTTAATGCAATCCATCAACAATCATTCAGTCGAACAACGATTAGGATCAAAAATGGATATCATATCACACTCACCACCAGTTGCTAGTTTTATTTGAAATTTACTATTTACCAAATTAAACCGGACGATGTAAATACCATCAAGTGTTGAACACAAATATGCGTTAACATTTGAACACCAAATCATGTCAACAATGGATGAATGATACCAGGCACTAGTTGTTTCGAATTCCTTGTCACAATACTGATAAACAAGTAAATTTGAGTCTTCTGAACTATATAAAATACCTTGGCCATCACTTGCAAGAATATCAACAGTATATGCAATAAACATAGTGTTATTTGACCGAAATAATGAAATATCGACCTGGTTTTCACTCAAACTGGAAGATACATCGGATGCATCGTATTCAGATTCATCAAAAACGTTAAGAGGTGCAATGAATCCACACATATCAGCACCTTTCGATATAGCACTAGCGATGTCTATCATTTGTAAATCGGTCTGCATATTCTTTTCTTCTGTTTTTTTAATGACTGTCAGTTCATGGATACTAATACCATCGTCATTCGCGACTGGTAGTTTATCTTCTGAAAGTACTTCACCTCCATTTGGCAAATCACATTGTTTCAATGTCTCGTTTAGTTCATTTAATTTAGCCCTTAAGTCGTCATTAATAGAACTTTGAATTGTGCGACCTTTGGTTAACATCTGTATTTGATTACCAACTCATTCAAGTTTTTCATTCATCTCAGAAAAATGTCTTGAAAGAAGAAAAGAGAAAAGCGAAATGAAAGGTTAGCATATTCCAAATGTCTGAGGAACTTACATAAGCATTGGTTTTTTTCTCGTTCTAAATAGCTGGGTGACTTCTTCTTGTCGTTGCGTCGATGAATCAATAAACGATTTCTGTTTAGAATCTACCATTGATTTCATTTCGTTGTATTGATCTTGTAAAATGCTAACTGTTACTATCAATGTGTCATTATGTACTTTAATGCATTTAATACACATTGGCAGCGAACAATGTTTGCACTGACAAATTGAAAAGCCACCACATGAATGGCACGCATCACTAACAGTAGTACTAGCCATTATTGGTCTAAGACTAACTAAGAAGCTTATCGTTCACAACATTGAGAGAGATAAAGCTCAAAATTATATTGACGGAACGCTATCCTTGAATATTATGCGTAGAAAAAATAAAAGGATTACTCTTGACTTTTTAGGACTGAAGTGGAGCGTTTGACTTTCAATTGTTCATGTTAGCCGGACGAACATGAAATATTAACTGGTGAGCTTTGAGGGACAACATCATTTAGTTTTAGAGTTTACTTGGGCACAATCCTAGGGTGTAGAGGAAAAACCTATTTAATACTGTCTACGGACAACTTTTTTTGAATCACTGTACTAACTGGTGCAACTATGTATAATCTTACTGTTCATTTAAACGAACACTGGAAAACTTCTTTATTTTATTTTGGTGATATTTTGTTTTATTTATCTGAGCAATTAAAATTAATAGGGAAAGATCGACTGTACAATCGTGCTAAAACAAACATAGTCAAAGAACAAATCAGAGAACTAAAAGAAGACAGAAGAAAACGTTTAGGATCGATGAAATCATTTTAAATGTACTATTGTCTTTAATTTCATACACGAGCGAGAAAGTAATTCTTCTCTCTTGTTGTATTACACTAGCTAGTAGTTGTTGTTTTTTTTACGCTTTTATTTGCATTTCTGTTTTAAGAAAAGGTGTTTTATAAAACAAATAATCCATAGCTTTGCTTTTTTATTTATGTGTCGCTTCTATTTGAATGTATTCATTTTATAAGATCCAAAACATGACACAGTTACAATACAGACTCAACAATCAAACAATCTTGATCAGTTTTATTTGGCTGTAATATCGGACGAGCCAAGTCAAAGGTTAGAATGCCTTTCAGCATTAGCATCATATTTAAACGCTCAGAATAATGCGTTGAAATGTAAAAATACACATGAATTTATTACTGGATTAATAAAATGGGTTGAATCTAGTAATCATAAAGTATGTGGAAAATTCATATCAATATTATTCATTATCATAATCTTCTATACTTGTTGTCTTAGATCGTGTGTAATGGTCTGAGAGCCTTGGAAATGTTTGCTGAAAGGCTAAATGATGAATTTGAGTGTTATGTGCCTGCTAGTAAGCATATAATTAGAGAAATTTATTTACTTCTAGTTGTCTCTGGTTGTTATTTATGCTACATTTATAGTTGTTCAGGCTTGCATTCATACTCTAGGAGATTCTAAATGTCAGGTACTTACCGTTATTTCGAGTTAAGATAAACCGAAATTTGTATTTTTCTGTTTGGTTTTAGATTCGAGATGAGACATCCAAATTCTTACTCAAATTAATGTCGATATTTACGTCACAGGTGCTTTTTTTGCTTAAAACTTGACAAAGTCGTTGTGAAAGTATGTTCATCTTGTTTTCGTAGCGTATTTGGGACTTGTTACGACCATCGCTGGAGCACAAAATATTTCGAGTTAAAGTGGAAGGCCAACAATTATTAATACGCACGCTAGATATGTAAGTTGAAAAATAAAGATAGATTTCGTTATTTGGTTGATTAAAGAGCTAAATATGAAAGTTGATTTGATAGCGAGAAAACAGATTGATGATTTATTTTAACCTAGAGAGAAAGTTCATGCTCATAAACATAAAAATGTTTAAGTTATGTTGTTGGCCAGTGTTTATAAAAGTTTTAGACTCTTTAACAGTCGATACGTGTAAGTGATACAGTATAATACGATATGGTGATAGGATGATTAATTTCCCGTTTCAGACTTTCTAGGAAGTTTCTATAACCAACAGAATGTAAACGACACGCAGGCGAGTTTTTTTTCTAAAAAGCGCGAATAGAAAGTTTTATAGAAAAAAACTGTCATAATGTCTTATTTGCCATTTGATATCGTGTGAGGTGAGAAATAGACGAAAGTAAGGCATTTTGGTTTCGTTTTCATGCAAACATGATGTTAATGTTTACTTAGAAAAAGATACTCTTACGAAGCACTTTTCTTCGAGTAACGTGACATTCCACGTCGATTTCGTCACTGAATGATCACTAATGGTATAATCCCTTTTTGAAAGAATCAAAATTTTGAGCCTAAAAAGAGTGGAGTTGACATTAGGTTTTGTACTACTGCAACTTCTTTTTCTACTTGTCGATTACTGCCAGAAATAATTAAATCGCCAATTGCATTTATATCATTGTTCTAGATATTTTTATAGACGAAATTCAAATGATTTATACTGACCATGCCAATTTTTGAACATTTATCAAATCATTCGCACTAACACGACCATCACATCTCTATTTTCTGCTCTTAACGGCATATGGTGAACGGTCAACAGGAGCTGATTCAACACTTCTTGTATTTGATCGCAAATGTATTATGAATAATATCTCATTCACTGAGTGAGTTGGATGAAATTATGAGCAACTACCATAAAAATTTCTTAGCTGGACAGCGATATCCATTGGGAGAGGATGTCAGAATATCAATTCGAAATATAACTGGGAAACATGTTGAATTGTTGCGTAAAACGATGACATCCGTAAACGACTTCTGTCTTGAACAAATTCGCAAAAATGAACCATTTGGCGGGTAAGAGAATCGCATTGACAAATTTTATCTGTTAAAGAAAGATGAGAAAGTACTCACGTGTTGTTACAGATTCTAATGAATTCGAGGTTGTGGAGAGTGACGATCCTGATAATTTCGGTGCTAAAAATGGAAGACAAACCAAAGAAATAAAAGTCACACACACACATGCACCTTATATCAGTCAAACATCGAGCGGATGCTATATTTTAGCGGCATGAAAGCCCACAGTGACCATTTTCTGGTTTTGCTGAGAGCATCTATCAAATTTCGGCCTTTTCGTCCCTAAAAAGTGATTTTCGCGAAAAACAGACGCCTTTTTGGCAAAACCGGTTGTTCAGCTTGGAGAACGCAGGAATAAAATAGAATTACGGTATATATTTATTTCTTCAGAAACAAACGATTTCAAAATAGCATTTTGTGTAGTTGGGAATGATGGCAATGTTGTTATATCAAAGAGAGATGTCTCCGGACGATATTCGAGATCCACCTTGGAAGTAATCGATTCGAACTCGCCCACGAACATACAGCACGTTTCGCAACAAGTAAGTGAACCACAGAAGCGCAAGTAACAGCTCATATTTCTTCGTTTGTTTGTTTTCAGTTAACATCGATATGTGGTGGCCTCACCGTTATAGTTATTTATATTCAGCTGGAACACAAACGCCGAAAACGGTAGTTTTCTTTCGTTGTTCGCCAATTAAAATAAAAATGATGATGCTTTTTCTCATAGCTCATCGTCGATTACCAAGCAAACGTGTCATGAAGAAATGACCATGACATGCTATGCTGCATATCCAAGTAATTGTGTAACATCGACATGCCAAAGAACTTATGATCAGTTAATTCAAAATTCAATTGCAAATGTAACAAATGTATCCATGTCATTTCTCGATTCAAATAATGAAAACATAGTGGTTCCCAGTTATATTTCGAATTGATATTCTGACATCCTCTCCCAATGGATATCGCTGTCCATTTATTGATGGATTTTTCAGTTTTGAAGATAGATAAATTTCATTTGTATTTTTAAAATATGCAACACAATCATGTACCGAGATTGTCTAGTTGAAGAAAAGCTTACAGGCATATACGTGCAAAAGTATTCGTTGAAATTGAAATTCATATATGGTCGTCTAAATACAAACTACGATAAGTAGAATGGACTAAAATTCACAGTAACTGTTTCTGTATTTTTCTTCTTTGTAACTATACTTTTCTTTCCAGTCAATTTCTTGATGACTTTTCAAATCTGTAGTCATCTCCAGGCGTCACATATATGTTGTAAGAAAAAGTGAAATTCAGGCAGATTTAAAATTTACGACTCAAATTTGCGTTTTGATCAGTACAAACTAATAAAACTAAAATTTTAGTTTTAGCCTGAAGTTATTTTAGACAGAAGTACAATTTCACTTTTGTCTAGGCAAATTTTAAATTTCCCTGAATTTCACTTTTGCCTAGAACATATACATCGAGAGCGAGCTCCATGGCTGTTTCTGTTTACAAAAATTAATTTTTTTATTTGTTTCACCTAATTTTTACTATTTTAAATTTATGGATTATTTTTATGAAGGTTTAATTGTTAACGTATGCTTCGGAGGAATATGTTTTATGGGTATGCTTTTCCTTGGCTATTTACACGTACACAAACCACAAATTCGATTAACATTTAACCTAAACAAATGAATGCATAAAAAATCAAACGGTCAGTATTGCGCACACTAACGTATGTGAAGAACGAGAAAATTGAACCAAGTATTCTGTTCTTGAAAATTAGTTTAGTGCCCATTTTTCACTTGTTCCGATCCACTTAATCCTGTAGACTCTAATGGTTTCTCAATCTTGTAGACAGCTGAATTTCACACCGAGCGAAGATAGGAAATGTAAGAAAATGTGTTTAGAATTTTTTACATTTTACATTTCTTCTAACAATGTTTAGACTACGATCACATTGTATGTCTTTTGTTTCTCTGCTGACCAGGAGAAAAAACATAGTTAGAAGAAATGTAAAATGCAAAAAATCTAAACACATTTTCTTACATTCCCCATCTTTGTTCGATGTCTAATATATCTTAGTATATTTTATAATACAAAGTTTGCATTGATTGGTGATATGATCGATACGAAAAATCAAACAACAGCTATCAAACAGCAAAGATATGTACAAATGTACTATCATTTCCAAATAACTGGTAACAAACTCTTTTCTATAAGACTAAATAGCATTACAAAATATATGTAAAGGAACAGTAGCCGTAATTGTCTATGTATATTAGTAATGCTCATTATTTTTTCGTAATTTCGACAGAATATCTTGACTTAAGACGCTTTTACCCGTGAGCAGGAGATCAACAAAACTGAGTTCATATATGGAATTTAGTTTGAATTTGCACCGGAATGACATAACAACGAGTTCATCAATATTGGACATTCTGGTTCCTAATTTTTCTCTCAATATCTCATCATGTGATGTTACAAAAGAAGAAAGATTGATTAAAGAGTGTTTGACAACAGTGTGAAAACATTTACTCGACAGGAGTTAAATATTTTTTTTGTCTAAGAGTGAATAATGTACAAGTAGGAAGAGTAAGCAGAACTATGACTAAAACTAGAAACGATAAAAAAACATTATAGTGTTAGAAATTTGTCTAAGAGTTTTCCTTGACAATTAAGGGAAAAACATGTAATGTGGAAATGTGAGAAACATTTTTATCCGGGAATCAAATGTAGAAAATGAGAAAGATGGAAAACTGACTGCTTGTATATGTGTATGATATCGTATTATTTCTAGATTCTTAGCTCCTGTTTTGAATATGAGAACGATGGTTCTTTTCTATAGATATCGGTTGTAACGAACACATCTATACGGTGCACCGATGGTATCACAATAATGGTATAACAAGAATGTTGTGTTTTAATCTTTAATTGACTTTAATTATGATGAATTGGGGGAAAAAAATAGCGTGTTCTCGTACAACGAATAAGATTGACTGTCAAAAGAAGTAGTTGTTGTAGTTGACTGTCAAAATTGTATAATTAGTTAATTTTTGAAATAAATAGCTTTTTCTGTATATTAGCCAGCATCCACACATGCTTTTAAGACAAGGGCTTCCATAGTATTTGTTCACGAGTCAGATTCTCTCATGCGACACATCTCTGTACGGTTTATTTTATCTTGAAACAGTACTTAATTGCTCACTGTGTGTTATAGTGTTCTTATCGTCGCTTAAACCGAATAGTAATTCTCAGCAACTTTTCTTTTGAGTGTAAGTATTACTGAGGAAATGTCTAAAGATAAGAGACGTGGTGGGATTATGTGAATAATTACGAACATTTCTAATGGGTATAGAAAGTATTATTTGCCTAACAAGGAATTATTGCGAGTAAAGCACTTGAGAAAGCTCAACAAAAAAATATTCAAACAATGAGTTTCCGTTATAATTGAATAAAAAACATGAATTATAAGAAATAGAGAAAAATGTCGTGAAGAAAATAATGACCAATTTTACTCATACATACTACGAGACGCTTGCCTTATTTGGAAGTTATTAACAACATTTTTCTAGTTTTTATCTTTTCAATTAAGTTTTACATAGATGCCTTTGTTTGTCTTCTATCATATTTCTCCTCGTCTTTAAATTTTTTTGTTAGCGTAGCTGACCAATGTGAGAAGCAAGATTCTTTGGAAAAAAGTGCATGTATAAAACATTAAAAAGGATAATAAGCATTTAAATCATATAAGAATCAGTCCTACTTTTGATACATAACCAGATAAATATTAAGAAGATTTTTTTCGAAATAAATCAGTGTGTACATTGTTAGGAACTAGGTCATGCCATTCGAGTTTCCAATAGGATTTTCGCCTGTGGCGAGTGAACTACATATATTAAAACAAAATAAATAAAAATAGCGGAATTCATGTTTTCAAAATGTCGTCAACTTGAACATATACTTATGAGTAATTGATACATGATTCAATCTCTCTCTTTTCTTATACCATTTTAGGATTACTTCAGATGCGAAACAAAAAATATGCTCATTCACTAAATTATTCCTCTGTTTACTTTTTATAAGTTGTTCTACGGTTTTATTCTCATTACTGTTTCAGCCATCATTATTATCTAGTCATTTTCTTATATGATACTAGTTCAACTTAATGAGCTTTAAATGCGTGCGTACACTCATGAGATGAGGGATGCTATGCTCTTTGTAGCTGTTGTGCTTTCTTTTCCGTAATTTAGCCTACTTTCCCTCGATTATAAGCATGCTCTTTACTGTGTGAACATATCATTGTAAATACGATACACTATCCATCGGAACTTTTAAATAATTTTAAATTAATGCAAAATAATGTGTGACCCAAAAATTTAAATAGCCAAATTAATTTAAATTCGTTTATAATAAATTTTTCATTAGTTACAGAAGTTTAACAAAATAAATAACGGGTTGTCGAAACAAGAACAAGAATCTTTTACCGTTACTTTCCGTTACTTACTTTGTACAGTAATGGATTTTTGTTACCGTTACTTGTAACAGGTAACGGATTATCGTTCCCGTTACTAGTAACTAGTAACGGAAAACCGTTACTTTTCGGAGTAAAGTAACGGAAAGTAACGGGAAAGTGCCACTCCTATTGTAGAAGGCAAAAGATGCACATTTTTGCAATCATGTCACATTTTTGCAGCAGCAAAATATGCTCAAAAGATCGGTTATAGTTCTTGGTCAGGAATATGTAAGCACAGCTAATGAACCAAATGCACAGTTAAATGATTTAAATGACATTTATCTGCTTCTGTTGTCAACAACTACTCAAACTGTATATTATCCAGTTGTGTTAGCCTATTATAACAATCATTTTACACTGTTAGTTATGATTGAAACGCAGTCTTCTATTTCAACAACATCAGATAGTTCATCATCGTTATACTTATATTTGGCTTTGTCTTATTTATCGTCTTCTACATTATTGTTACGAGACTTGCCCATACATTATTTAAATTATGTTGAAGAACATAATATCAATAATCTATCAAAGAAATATTTAACTATAGAAGATATTGAAACAGAAGAGGAAAATATAGTTAAATGTTGTGTATTAAGTGAAGATACACTTCCAAAACATGTAAATGTTTTAAATGATTAATGCTAGGGGATTGGATGAAACCTGACTGTGTATTTAAATGCCTAATGTTGTTAAAAAAATATTTATGTAATTATTAATCATATTTTCAATAAAAAAGGTATTCCTTTTACTATCAGCATCATATCAGTCAAATTATAAATTCCACTGGGATTGAAATATGAGTGTTAGTCATTTTTGCCTAGTGGAATTTAAAATCGCACTATAGCGAAGATTAGAATTTTATTCTCCACTAGTTGAACTTACAATTTCAATTCTCACTGACAAGAATTCAGTGAAAACTGAAATTTTAAACTCCACTAGTGGAGATTAACATCTTAATTTCCACTGTAACATATACTTCAAATTTTTGTAAAGCTTTCTAAGGTTTCGTTTTTGTTTTAGCATTTATGTGATATGATGATGGGTAGACGGAACTATGAACAGAATGTGAACTCTAAACTATGTTGAATGACTGAAGGATTCTGGTTAGATTGCATTCTTCTCCGTTCATATGTATCTTCAAGGGTATCTCGTTTTGTAGAGTACACTGCAGTGCATATGCTCAATTGTGTCCTAATGGCTGTTTTTGAGATATTTATCGTAGATTCAGAAAATAATTAGAAGACATCGTTGTTGTGCAGGAGTGTAGTCTATGATACGTCAAAAAATTAATGTCTCAGTCAAAATCAATCACAACGAGCTGAAAACTTCAAAAGATACACTGTTTGTATTATACACATGATTCTGGGATAAGATAAATGATAAAATAAACTTTTGGTTTCAAGATTTTCTGAAAATCCAGTTAGAAAACAAGAACTTTTTCATGTTTAGTCATACGTGCAGCAGGCCAAACTAAATATGTGAGGTTTGATTAGATCGTTGTGATCAGTTTTGACGAAGGTATGAATTTTCTATTATGAGGTGAAAATAGCCTCAAATAGGTGATTTCACACAAAGTCAATTTTTATCAGGTTTTGGAATTTTTCTAGAAAAACAAACATTGCCATAGGAGCCAATGTAGTCGATTAGTTATATCCCACGTAATTTCCAGGTTACTAAAAGTCATTAGATACTAGTACGGAGCCTCAGAAAATCCGTCACTACACCTAAACCATTGAAGGCAACATTTCTAAAATGTGGTCATCTTGCTCGCTGTCAATCCCTTACCCCCTGTGTACTGTTCAGCTTTTGGGCGTTCTTCTGGATAGATTATTGAACGGAAGAGCATGAGTTGGGTTAACCTGCATCGGTATAGCACAATTCATTTTAAAAAACAAGATTTTGACTGGAATCCCCACTTGACGCCTTTTGGAAATACTACAAAGTGTTCTTTCTCCTTCTTGTCACATGCGTGTGATTTCTTCCTTACATGTACAGGGGACATTTACACATCGGCACACTTTTTAAAATTTTCTTTGCATCTTTTTTTCTTCTATTTTTTGCCGACTACGCAGTCACGGGTGTTACAGAAAGAACGGTGTAATTTTTATTTTCAGTTTTCCTCCTCTCCCTTTGAACTGACAAAGCTCATCTTATAACTAAAAGATTCTCCGTTCATTCCTCTATAAAATGGTGCATAGAAGATGACTTTTATGGTTTGAGACATTGTCTTAATTGAACAAATACCGAAATATCGGGAAATAAAGTTAAAAAATTTAAATTTTTTTCTACGACAATTTAGAAGTTTAAACTCTGTTTTGAAAGCTATTGGAAGAAGATAGTACATCATTTCTTAGGGCCTTTAGATGTCTTCTTTCAGATGGCACGCAAGACTCATTTCCTTCCCATCGATCTGTTGTGGTAAAAATGACTTGTTCATAACTGACTGTCATTACTGAACAAAATGCGCTAGTTTCATTATCTCTATTATTTAGAAAATTTACATCAATCGTTTCGCACATGAGTCGAGTAAATCAAACATTTGTCTTCAAAATGACGCAAGAATGAGCCTGATTGGTTCAGTTTTACCTGAGCAATATTTATTTTACAAATAGCCCCATAATTCAGGTTGAAAAAGCTGAAAAAATGGTCATAGGAGTTTTGCAAAAATCATTACTGAAATTTTCAGTCTGAAAACACAGAAATAACGATAGAAAATCCGCATTATAGATAGAGAATTTTAAGGGCTACATTTTGACCTACTTGCTCTGGACACAACGCATACGTTCAACTTCATACTGACGAAATACACTTTTTTGTGTTAAATTTTTTAAGTTTTTCAGACATTCGATGTTTGTTCAATTAAGACAGGGTCTGGATCTTAGGGTCATCTTCTGTACACCATTTTGTAGAAAAATGAATGTGGAATCCTTTGGTAATAAGATAAAGTTTGTGAGTTCAAAGGAAGACGAGAAAAATTGTAAATAAAAACTACGCCATTCTTTCTGTAACACGCGTTAAATGAATATGTCATATGACCCATACGAATATCACGCTATCAAGAAACCAAATTGAGACCATTTCTAGAATCTACGGTGTATGAATTCTTCTTCTGCTGCTAAAAAAAATTTTTCTTTTCTATGTGTGTGTATATGTCCCTTCCGTATCCCGCACTGGTCCACGGTCTTGTTGTATTTCTTTGCAAAATTTCTGTTTCTTGTTATTTCAGCCAAGAATCTTGGCAACTATTATAGCGGTATTTTTGTCTGAAGACTCTTCACTGAAATCTTTTTGACAAGACAGAAATTCCAGTCAAGAATCTTGTCGTAAATTTTCTTTAGGAATCTTGTTCTGTAATTCCTACAAGAATCTTGTAAACAGAAAAATGGATATATAATCCATTTTTCGTTTTCTATATATACATAAGAGCTAGTCGCTCTAACGCTAATATAGTCACGTATAACGATTGTTTCTCGATAACAATCTTGTCAGATTTAAAAGAAATTTTTGCAGACATCTAGGTATAGTATTGACATTTATAGCATGGGGAATTGACAAAACAAATTGATGATTTTATCGTCAATGAATCTTGCCATTTCAGACAAGAATCTTTTGCCAAAAAAGATGAAAAATCAATAAAAAATTAAAGGAAGAATTTTGTCTGATCTATCAAGACAAACTTAAAGATTCCTGCCTGAAATGACAAGAAACAAGAATCTTGCAAGAACACGATAAGAAAGTAGTCCAGTGCTTGCTTATACAGACATATTTTTCTTTCTCGTTTCTCCTTTCTTTTTTTCTCCGCAAAGACACACACACACTGACATGCACATTTTACAAATCATATTTGCTTCACACACAGCGATGTGCACTGTTTTCTTCTTCTACGATAAGAAGAACGTGGCTTCTTCTTATTCGAACCAGATGAATTACACTAATCGACATTTTTATTTAGGTCGACAATGACACGTAAGTACGTGCATTAAGTTTTAGCATGTTCTTTAACCATAACCCGACTGAAGAGAGCCTTGAGCAAAATCGAAACCGATTCTGAATTGTTCTGCATTTGTGTTTTTTACCAAACTCGAAATGATCGTTCTCTCTGTCTAATAAGTTATTGTCAAAAATGTTGATACTAGACGGTTTTCGCTGTTCCTTTATAAGAGAGAATGTATGCATGCATTGTATCTTTTCTTAGTTTGTCAAGAAATGAATACAATGTGTGCATAAGTTCTGTCATATGCACCAAAAGGAGAAAAAACATGTCTTTCACATCGGTGGAATCAAATGTGAGAATAAGATCACAAAAAAAAGCCCAAAATACTGAGAGAGGAAACCAAAAGCCATTCTTTCTATTTTAAGAACGAATACAGTAAATGATAAAAACAATAAGAAAACAAACAAAACTCGACAAAGACGAAAGCATTTGGACAACGAACATGGCGTGTAACAGTGATAGTTCCTATGATTTTTTAGAAACTAATGAAAATAACCATTCAAACAGTTCACCTATAAGAGCAGTTCATCTCAAACAGTTACAGACCTACTATTGGTAAATAAAACTGCATCAGTATTATTTATTTTCGTTTGCACATATATTGAATTATATTGACTGAGAAATGTGTTTCATTTGTTATCGAGCAAAGTATAGTTATTAGTAAAATTTTATTCTTTCAACCTCTTTTGTAATGTTCCTCCAACTAATGATTTTTGAATGTAATTTCTTTCTTTCTATGAAAAACATAGCTTTTCCAGAGACTAGAAAGAAGTGAAAAGAAAGCTAGAGGCTTTCCTGAAACTATCCTGAATAGCGGCGATTCTTGTATCGTAGATAGAGTTAAAAGGAGCGGAAAAGGTTGTTGATGAATATGTTTTGGGTCAAAAAAATCAAACCGCCAACAATATATAATGCATTCAGTAAGTTTTTTGATAAAGTGCTATAAGTTTGAACTTTAAAATGGGCTTCGTTGGAAATTGTTCACAGAAGTCCCAAATACATTGAGTAGTTGACGTTATTATAGAGAAATATTCCATCTTATAGATAAATAATGTAGATATATACAAGAATTTGTTTCAAAAGTAACAAAAATATGATTATTAATTTTGCACGTTTCTGCGGTTTATCAACCAAAAATAAAATCTATCATGGCATTAACAATTTATATTTAGTAGAACGATTTATTAAACAGACGCGTCCATTCGCAACCCAGAATACATCAAAACAACAACATCTAAATCATCGTTATGTATTGATTGAACGACCAGTTAACCGTAGTGTTCAATTAACTGATTTTTCTTTAACAACATCTCCAATAAGTGAATTAAATTCAAATGAAGTTTTACTTAAAACATTATGGTTATCACTTGATCCATATATGCGTGGCCGTATGAGTGCCGGAAAATCTTACGTTCAACCAGTTGGAATAGGAGAAGTAATGGTGGGACAAGGAGTGGCAGAAGTGGTCAAATCAAATGATCCAAACATTGTTCCTGGTCAAATTGTTTTGGCAGATGTTGGTTGGCAAGAATATGCTTGTTTATCATCGAAAGATATCATTCCTATTGATAATACTAATACATCATTTCCATTATCTTATTATCTCGGTTGTTTGGGAATGCCTGGAATGACAGCTTATTTTGCTCTTCAAGAAATTGGACGTCCAGAAAAAGGTGAAACAGTTTTGGTTAGTGCTGCATCCGGAGCTGTTGGACAAATTGTTGGACAAATTGCTAAATTAAAAGGTTGTACGGTTATTGGTATTGCTGGTGGGAATGAAAAGTGTACTTATATTACTAAAACTCTTGGATTTGATAGTGCAATAGACTATAAAAATAAATCGGTAAAACAGTTAACAAATGAAATAAGACATTTAGCTCCAAATGGAATTAATATTTATTTTGATAATGTTGGTGGTATAATACATGATTCCGCAATGTTAAATCTTGCTATTCAGGGTAGAGTTATTATATGTGGTGTTATAAGTACTTTTGATCAATTAGAAAGTGTTGACAATGGACCACGTTGGATGCGTATACTATTAATTAAAAGAGCTCTAATGCAAGGTTTTCTTGTAACAGATTATGAACATCGACGAAATGAATTTTTGAATGAAATGAAATCATGGTTGGAAAATGGTCAACTAAAATATAGGGAAGATATTGCTGAAGGGCTTCAAGCAACTCCACAAGCATTTATCGGTATGTTACAAGGTAAAAATCACGGAAAACAACTCGTACGTATTGCAGAACAAACGGTCAGAAGCTAGAACGTTTTGTTCTAGCTAATTTTTTTTTATTATTTTTTTTTTGTTTTATTATCGAGAGAATAAATCATCTTTACTTATTTTTCAACAATGCTGTACTCACGATTTTTTTAAACTAGTATATATATAGTCCAAAGTGTCCTCTACAAAACTGGATCTAAGTCATATGTTGGAAATCCATGATTCAGGAGATGGTTTTCCTGAAGTCTTAGCAATCCTCTGCCGTTAGGTTTCAGACTGTCCGAAATGAATGAAAATATAGGTTATCGACTATATTGAATCTCATGGCAATGTTAGTTTTCAGAACAAAATGCAATCGCGAAACAATTTTATGTTTTCTACACTACTTACGAGGGAACGTTCCCAGGTGTCCATTCGCTTTTGAGTCGAGACTATGTGCATTATGTAGACCCTGGTGAACTATAAATACCTTGAAAAGAGTTGGTGCCCCTA